TTTACGCATTCTATCGTGAACACTCACAGTGTCTTCGAAGAGCCTGGCACCAACTCGTATATCCGCCTCGCAGTCCCCGGAGGAAAATACGTCATCCATTATCCGGCAGGGTCGATTATTCAGGGATTTACCGAGGATGGATCCAAGCTGAGCGGTGTCCACGCTGTCTTCCAGGTAAGTTCACCCCATACGATGCGGGATGGCTTTATCTCAGCATCGCCTTAGACAAAGAGGGAGGGAGAGATCGTCAACATCGTTGGTGCGGGTCTTGATGAGCACCCTGTGAGAAGGGCGTATGTGAACTCCCTCAGCCAGACAAGGACAAAACTTTGATGGACACGTGAATACTGGATTATCTCAAGTTTACACCATAGCTTGACGATCACGCTTTGCTGGGGAGGCGGGTACGTCAGGGGAGATGCACATTCGACGGCTGAAGATAGATACGCGATATGGCGGTACAAGGAACGTTCTTCATCTGTAATATACACAAAAGGTTAGAACACCTTGCGATACAACCTTACCACGTTCAGACCAATGATGAAACTACCTTCGTCACCGATGATTGTGTGCCAAAATAAGATGGAGGTGTAGGATTGCCAGTAAGTTTAGGTCGTTGAGATGTTCCTAGCTCGCTGTACCGGGCCGTCGAACCGCAGTTATGGGTGGTCTCACGGCCAAGTGCGGTCAACCAATACCAACTGCCAAAGCACACTCGAGCTCACCTGCTCGGGTCCTTCTTCGATTTACCGCGTTCTTTTTTCTTTGATTGATATTACACCACTTAACTTCGGCCACCTACTCCACCAACCGCTTGCAATTACCAGCAGGTGATCGTGCCGGCCTCTCCCATTGCCCTTGATGGATACATCACAAGATCAGTAGCCTGAACAGCAAAGTATATGGAGATCTACAGCGAAAGAGGTACGTACCCCAGAACTCACTAGGGTTTACGCCACTACTCTACTAGCAAGATCAAGACCCTTTGCGAAACAGTACCCGGAAAGTGTTTCAGTACCAGTCAGCTTTTCAAGACGGAAAAGGTTTGCGAGTAGATGCAGAAATTCGAAAGTAAAATAAATGCAAGAACAAGTTGCACATGGATCACTTTAGAGTCCATACTTATATAATCTAAGCATTGAATGCCGACCCTCTTGGCTGATTCTTGGACGTAGATCTCTGATGGAATCCTAGTTCTGGGGTCACGCCGCCGGCGGGATCAATATCCAATGGGAGGAAGAATCTGGAAGAGGTTCGCTCAACATGTAAGGAACGGTAATTTGTCGGGATAGATGTATCTGATTGAGTCATACCAGCGTGGTGCTCGTATCTGCGTTCCAGCATTATGAACGAGTCACTTCATAGTACGGCGTCGATACTCGACCGTGAGGGGGCAGCCGAAAGCCCGCTTGAAGAGCCTGGGGTCTACATTAAGGATTTAAGGCCTTTTGAGGCTTGGGTTCCCACAGTGAGCGCACGTCCATTGCGCACGTCGAGTCAGGGTCGGAAGGGTGGAATGATTCCAAACGTCAGAACGCCCCCAATTTCACCTAGGAGCGACGGCACGGTTTCAGGAAGTAGCGGGAAGTAACAGGTAAGCCCAGGACGGGAAGTCGGGTAGAAAAATCGACGGTAAGCATATCTGCTGTTGCCGTGTTGGCTGTAATATATGTGACTGATCAGTCATTCTGCCGTTCATTCTATTGTTCCGAAGACACACACGGGTCGCAGCTGGCCTTTCGCTCGGAATTCCGAGGAACGGCAAGACCAAATTACACACATATATAATGAAGCACCTGGAGGATTTTTTTTAGCAAAGTCCCTATCGCCATGTCCCTCACTCGAACGGGTCTTACCTGCGTTCAGGCAGTTGCGCACTACTACGCCATGACTCCACCTCACAAGACAAAGAACAAGGATCGGTATCATACAGAGGAAATATGGATCTTACAAATTGCGCCCTACGTCTTTTTTGTGCGTTCTCTCTTTCTAGCATCCCACCGACGCTTCCTGATCTTCCTTCCCAGTCACATACCGCTTTCCTTTGCTTCTGTACGATCGGGGAAATACTATCATACCTTTTTTTCCTCTCACCCACGGTCTGCGCGTCTCTTCCTCATGGTATCTCATCCTGCTCGTCCCCAATTTTGCCAACAACAACACCTCTATTCCTGATTGGAACTCTATCCCTCCTTCTGGGTACTTGGATCCGATTAGATTGCTTCAAGGCCCTCGGGAAATTCTTCACTTTCGACCTTACCGTACACGAAGACCACAGGCTCGTCACGGAACGGTTTTACGGATACGTACGGCACCCATCGTATACTGGATCCCTCCTACTTGTGCTCGGGATAACGTTAGCACATCTCACTGAGGGTTCCTGGTTTATAGGCGCCTCGAACTCCTCAGGAGGTCTAGCGCTTCGGTTGCTAGGGACAGGAGTTTGGTGGGTGTATTGCCTCTCGGTCGGGATTTCGAGGGCGCGGGCAGAGGATAAGCAGATGCACAAGTCATTTGGAGAGGAGTGGGAAAGATATCGAGATCGGGTCTGGTGGTGGTTTCTACCTGGACTCTTGTAATCGAGATTGAGGTGAGGTTTCCTCGTGCCCTCAATCTCGTGGTCCTTCCTTCTGATTCGATGTCCATAAAATTATATGTAGATTCGAAGTGCTTGGCGTTTGGCGCTCGCGAGCTTCGACATATGATACCACCACTCTTAGAAGTCGAATATCGACTGCATCTTCTATCTAGACGTCGCTTACACGCCACCATCTATTTTTTATATCCTGCTGGCAGCCACTCTATTTCTGAATTATCGTTTCGATTCTGATTCTGGACTTCTGTTCTCGAATAACCTCACTCCATTTATTCACAAAGCACAAAGCGATGGCTGGCAAAGTCGATGTCCTAAACATTTCGATGACGGATACCACTGCTACCCATTGATGAAGCCAAGAATGCAACGCGACTCCTTACCACCTCTCGTTTACTGGGGTTTACGGAGATACGCGGGAAGACAGAGGCCTTAGGTCAAAACCCCCGATCACCGAACCAGTCATCATAAAAGCTGTCCGGCGAGACGCACCAAGAGGAGACGGCTTGTCAGACCCCGTGTTCGAGAACCTGTACGGTGTTTCTTCGTACCATTGCACCAAGGTGAAGACGTACCCTCAGTGTTCATAAGGATTCAACCCTCCCGATGTTTGAACCGAATAAGGTCAGATTAATCACCGTTTGCATGTCGTGACTTGCATTGACGTTTAATAAGTAGAATTAATACAAATTAGGAGACTTTTGTCTTTTTATTTGTTCCTGAGCTAGTCTTGGATCTGATGGTCTAAAAATCCCGTGTGAAATACAGTAACCGACCTTAGCTCAGTTGGAAGAGCACAAGACTGTAACGGTTGCCTGTCATATCTTGGGGTCGCCTGTTCGAACCAGGCAGGTCGGATCGATCGCGAAGGAAGAACCTTTTTGATTGATGTCACTTTGGTGTTCTGTATTGACAGATTGACGAATTGTCGACGGCCAGCGAACCCTACAAGCATTTCTTTGGAAACTCTTCGCCGTCATCTCCTAGGATGGCTACTTAGTGCATAGTCTCAGTTTAAGTACCACTTCCCGCCGTCCTTGCGTCTTGAATATTTCTCTATGGGGCCTTCTCTTGACGCTCTACAGCTTGAGCATTATCCGACTCAATGAGCTCAGAGAACGCCGAGCCGAAGACTCGCTCGCGACTCTAAGCGATTCCCCTCTCGTTACGCTGCGGTCATCCAACCATTCATCGCCAATCCTCTTCGATTCTTGTTTGTCGCTGTCTGGCAGCCTTTACGTTCAACGCTCCATCATATATATAGTCGTGTTCAACTCGACGACTGCCATTTCCCCCCCCCCAACTTTCCCCATCACCACCCCTCGGTCCCCAACCCGTTCCCCTACTTTCACTATGGTTAAGACAGCAGTCATCGTCGGAATTGCCGTGCCCTTCACGATGGTCGCCGTTATGATTATTCTCGGTACAGCCTACTACCTACGGAAGAAGAGAAGAATCCAGAAGGCGCCTGTTAGCTCAAACGCGTCGGTGCACAAGTTTATCAAGGGTGGAAGCAGTGGAGGAAAAGGGCATTCGTCAGAGTGGTCGGAGGACGAGACTGATAGTGACCGGTTGGTTCGCGGAAAGTCTGAGGTGTAAGACCTGGGAGGTATGTGAACTTTTTCTCCCGGGGACTCGGCGTTGGGATACTAAATGAGAATATTCGACAGGTTCGAAAATCGTGCTCTTTGGGCTACCGACAATAACGGGGTTGGGTTGAAATCATAACGGGGATCATTCAACACATCTTTTGCCTAACGCAGCCTTGCGTTCATCCCGCTCTCAGTGACAAACTCGCTGGAAGGGGATTCATCTTTTTCATTTTTTCACTTATTTCTCTGGGGGTTCACATCAGAACGGACAATGGACACGCTCATTTACTTTTTACCGCCGCTCGTTACAATCACAATTACTAGTATTATTACAAGCTCCACAGACCCACAGACGAACGCATAATTTGTACATGAACATTGAAAGCAATGACCAAACCCTTGGCCAGTGGCTGCTGTCAAAGATTCAAAATGAAAGGACCCCGTTTCGTCCCTGAAAGGTGAGGTACATATTCGGCAATGTTTGAATGTTCTTGGGTCTGTCTTCCTGTCACGTACGCCTTGCTCGCTTAGCAGTGGCGAGAAGACTGTGATTTCCACGTTCCGAAGCTTCAGAGCACGCGATTCAGGTATCTCGAGAATGTGATTGAAACTCGTGAGAGTCCCTTAGAATGGCGACAAGGAACACCCTATATTTACACTTCAACTAAAAATATACAAGGCTCCCGTAACATACTCCCAAGCGATTAACCTGCTGATCTGGCCCTGGTGACTCATCTATGGTCTCAAACGGCGTGCAAATCTAGATTCAGAAGCAGGACGAGCATCTTGTAGCTCAGTAAAGTGTCATTCGTATAGCCGATTTAGCTTAGTGGTAGAGCGTTGCACTTGTATTGATCACATCTGCGAAGAACTTGATGCAAAGGTCGGTTGTTCAATCCAGCCAATCGGCAGTTATTTTTGTGTGAATGATTGACATTTGGACGCCCACACCCGCTCCTCGTCTCCTCAAAACCATCATAATTGGGGTCAACTGCTTGGAGTTTTCACAAAATGAGGTTTGCCGTGGTTATTACTGGTGGTTGATTGGGGGAAAAATACTGCCCCAGTGAGGCTCGAACTCACGACCTTCCGATTGCTTTCCAGACCGTCGGTGGGAGTAACAGTCGGACGCTGTAACCAACTCAGCCATGGGGCACTGAACATTTTTCCACTCAGGCCTTCCATGATACCTCAGGAACAGCCTCATCTCGAGCTGTGTCTATTTCAGGGCATGTTTTACCGTTTCAAAACGATTCTAACCCGATACTCTCCGCATATAAATCATCGACGAGTCATCGCCGGAAGGTGCCGGTATGGAAAGGGGAACAGATCGAGCTCATACTTAGACTATACCGGTTTAGTCGGCGCCGTTTCCTGCTTATAAGACCAGGGCCAGTACATAGATAAACCAGCCAAATCATCCATTTCCCATAGACAGGATACTATAATGATCAGCGTATACGACCTTGGGCCTAGCAAGATTCCGCAAAGTTTGGGAGCCTCACCCAACGACCGAAAGGTTATGTGAGTCTTGCTTGTGCAGGTTGCGGCTGACATACGTCCTTCTCACCGGACTTTCTTCCCCAGTTTCACGTTGAATTACAAGAAGCTTCCGTACAAAATCATCATAATCACGATCGATGTCATTGAAAGCACCGCCAAATCCATCGGTGCGCCTCCCACGTCCAAGAAGTCCGACGGCACACCCCGATACACCGTTCCTTTTATACACGACTCTGGCACGGGAAAGTGTATTTCAGACTCGTTTCGCATTGCACACTACTTGGACGAAGCGTATCCTGAGACTCCGAAAGTCTTGCCAGCGGGGACGGAGATTCTACAAGCTGCTTTCATACAAATTGTTGAGGAGAAGCTGACCGCGATAGCAGAGGTTTATCTCCCGAAGGTTATGGAGCTTTCGTCGAATGAAGCGTTAGAGAGTAGGGCGAGGAAGTATGGACCTATTCCACCGCCCTTACCTGCGGAAGAACAGGGGAAAACTTGGGAAAAATTGAGAGTTGGGTATGATGGGCTGAAGGAGGCGTATGAGATGGGTAGTTATCACAATCGCGACGGAGAGGAGAGGATTTTCCTCATGGGAGATGAACCGGTGTTCGCGGATCTTGCGTTTGCCGCATGGATCGCTATGGTGAAGATTACCTGGGGCGACGAGAGCGAGGAGTGGAAACATGCGAGCGGATGGATTGATGGACGAGCTGGGAGGCTTGTTGATCGAGTCCTTCGATACGAGAGGGCTTCTGTTGGAATTTAAATCGGTTTTTTATTACTTTGTCTGTGGGCATGGGATGTTTTATCCGATCGTTGCCCCCTCATGCTCAGTGAAGGCCACACTCAAACTGTTTGCCCTCGTTAGTTCGAAACCTACTTCCACCGCTTCCAAGGCTCAGGAGGCCAGTCGGCCCCGGAATTCCGCTCAGCCGATTGCCTGCCGGACAGAGAGCCCATTGCCCAAACAAGACACAAATAACCGCTTGTCTCCGACCTTCATGACATCGCTCGCATCATCATCTCCTGGAAGTCCTTCTTCGTATCACAAGTATCAAGTGTATCTGGATTTCGGTAACGCTCATATGATGTATTGTCTGCGCTTCACGACTTGACTGTCGTGCAGTAATGATCTCTCAGGCGATGCTCAAACTCGCATCTATGGGAAGTTCAACGTTGTCGGATGCTGTTGGGACGAACATGGTCAGCTTCTATAACGTATACTGTTTCTATGGCTAATGACCCCTGCAGAGCCTCGTATAATCGACCTTTGCCCTCAGAATCGGGGCTTTTTGATGCGCTCGGATCGCATATTATGACAATCGGTCATCGCTGGCTCGAACCTGTTTATAGCGTGATCCTTCAAAATTTGCAGGAATAGAAGCTGCTGGAGAGCAAGAGGAACAAGTGGCTAGGTGGTACGAGCCTTGAGGTGGTGAGTTGCCTGGACCTTGCCTTTTTTTACATCGGAGCTCTTATCTTGAACAAACAAACGCCTTATCTGGAAGGTATGAACGTGCTCACGCACTACGGTACCCTTCGAGCGACTGGGGAATCGATGTTCGGAAATCAACAAGCTGCACGGAAATTCAATTCAGTTTTCGGCCATACCATCTGCCACCTGTGGTCTTTTTCCCCTCGATATTCGCAATTCATTCGATATCGACCTTGTGCCACGACTGAAGACCCGTTTCCAATCCAAAGGCTGCCAAGGGAACCCTCACTCGAACAAGGGCTTGACGACTGGATGGATATCGCCGCCTCGAGGTATGTCACGGAATTCACTTCGTCGATCAATTTCTTCATTGGTATTTTCTGTGGAATGGTCCAAACGAAAGTTCAACATACCAGAGTGTTGAAGATTACCATACATATGTCGGCTTGTTTGATTTTCTGCTTTGAAAGGTGCGTTATTTACCCTCGTACCTACCACACCGCTTGCTTAACTGTCATCACCGGCAGAAGGTCACTAGCAATCACGGTCACGGAAGTAGGAGAGGGTGACTGTGCATTAGTCTAGGGAAGTGGTATGGAAGCGTCTGTCTCCGTCCATTCTTCCAGCTAACGACCACTTAGCATCTCAGCACCCACAAAGTTCGCATATAATGCACTTGAACGCCACCGAACGTCATAGAGTGAGGTGGTCGAGCTCAGCGAGGGCTCATCGGAGCTCACCATCGTAGTATGCTCTTGAAAACCCCAATGCAGCCACCGCATCATCGGATTGGTACTCAAGGAGTGACATGGCGGTTTTACCATCAGGGTATGATGACATTGCCGGGGAAACCTTATCTGGGCTTGTCAATCTCCACGGATGTTTACTAGAGTTGTTAGGCCAAATCATGGTAGGTGAGATCGGGTTTTTAGGCTTCGGAGGAATTTTATGTAGGTACGGCTTTCATCCTTGCCCTTTCCGTCACTAGTCCTGACTCCCGACTCTGCTTCTCATTTTCAAGCGCTCCGAATTTGTAACGGCCGTTGCCGAAAGTAGCACCATTTCACACGGTCCCTAGTATATAAGCAGAACATTCTAGTATATTCCTTAGCTTTTTACCTTCACCTTGCCTTACGTCGTCTTGTACATAGCAGTGGTAATCTAAACGCCCTGTCTTGTGTATTGAGGCCTTAGGCACCGAGGGATAAGCTCTTACACATTTTTTACACAACAGTTTTTATCACTGCAACCACTCCTCCTCTACTCTCCCCTCTTATCACTCGCACATCAACCAGAAAAATTTTCCATCTCCAACCAAACCTCACCTTTGCCCAACACGTTCGCAAAACATACCCGCAGTACCTCACAGCAAGTCAAGAAGACTGCCGAGGACCTTCCCTACGCCAAAGAATCCCCTTCCCCAGCAATTCCCCGCGTATCTAAGCCCATGGCTATCACTACGACCCGTACTTCACATCCGAGTCAGGCCAGGACCTCTTCGTCATCATCATCGAGGATGAAGAGGCCTAGCACTATTCCTATGCGCGTGAGCAACACCTCCACACCCGGTGGGAGCGGTAGAGCTCGTAATGTTAACGAGTCTTCGAGTAATATCATGAACAATGCAATGAATATTTGGAACACCCCTGAGGTTAGCGCGAACGTGAGACTAGCATCCAAGCCCAACAATCAGAAGATGCCTTCCTCACATGGTGATGAGTTTTCTACTCCATCATCGAGCAATGACAATGCATCCAGGAGAGAATCACGAGTGGTCAGCGCGGCTGACATCCTCAGCGAGACTGATAGAGCTGCTATCCGCAGAGGAAAGAAGCCCATGCCTAAGCTTCGCATTGGCAGCGTTGAACCACCTTCCGAGACAGATAAAAATATTGATGAGGCTGATAAAGCGACCGATGAAGAGGATAAGGTGAATGAGGAGACCGATAATGATAACATGAACGAGGACTCTGTGTCTCAGAGACTACCTACCCCATCGGAGAAGGACACTCAATGGTCCTACAGAATTGATGGGTGGTCCGAGTTCCAGCGTAATATACGGAGACCTCTACCATCGGTAGCATCGCGTGCTTCACAGCAAATTCAATCCCGAGTACACGAATATCAACGTGAACTCAGGCGCCGATATGTTCTCCAAGTGCTACGAGACTATGATCTAGACGGTATGGCGTGCCCATTCCGGGTCAATTGGCGCATTAATGCAATCCAGAGCGATTCCGGATACGTCAGGGACGTGATCAGGATCCTTGGAGTGGACATATCGCAACATGGTGGCCAAACCTCGCATGTAACGAAGCTTGATGAGGGCATCAAACTCCCCTGGAAGCTGTGAACGAGCTATCAATGGTTGAAGCTCCTCAGGTGTTGTAGGGAATGACTGGGCACCTGCCATGGTTCCAGAGAGCACAATAGGAGTAGGAATAGTGTTGGCCTTTGCATGGCGTATGGTGTGGCTCGGGATGAGGAAGCCGCCGTGTTTAACGTGGAACCTGAGATGAGCTATCTGTTAACTCACCCACTGACGAGCAGATCATGGCCCAGAACGACATTGTTGATGACCGTAGCGAGCCCCCAGACTCGGGGGATGAATCTGACCCACAGCACTCACCTGATTCATACTACGGGTCCCAATATTCAAGTGGGGACTCGGATGGCGAGGATCGAGTTGGGTTTATGCGTGACTACCAGTCTGACGGGGGATACGGTTCCGATTATGATGAGTACACTTTGGGATCCCCGATAGAACGAATGGCGGCTATCAGGGATGATCCCGGGAGTGGTTCTGAGCTTGAGATCGACGAGGTAGTATTGCAGATGAATTTTGGCGAATACTTTCGGTCGATAACTGAGCAACCAAACGGGGAAAAAATTGCATCCGTTGAACCCAAACCTGTGCGATACTCCCGATCCGGGAAACGTCCCGAGCGTAAGACAGCGGAGAAGCGCTGTTTGGCAGCTTGGGTAGAGTTGAATGGTATCAAAGCATTCGCGCTATTTGACAGCGGGAGTACGGCAGATGCTGTGAGTCCCCATTTTGCCAGAGTTGCAAAAATGAGAGTGTACCAGTTGGAAAATCCGGTGACGCTTCAGCTGGGTACCAAAGGTAGCAAGTCGCGAATCACCTACGGGTGCACGACCTCATATTCTATATCCCCAGCCAAACAGAAGGTTGAGGGTCGCGATTACTTTGATAT